TGGGACCTGAGCAGCAGCTTAGGTCACTGCCATCTCAAATACAGCCATGGCACTGCAGACATCAGTGCTAACTCACCTTAGATTAGAGGCTGGAAGCATGGCGGTAACACACTCTGACACCTCAAAGCAAAGCCTCAGCCAGAGCATTTCAATTACCCAGCTTCCCCTGCTCCGGTGGATCTCCACAGCACAGTGCCTGCCCTAAGGTCTGCCAGGACACAGTGTGCCCTGGCTTTACACATCATATTAAGAATAACTTATTTATATTGTCTCCTATTTATGGGATTGTCATTACTGCACAAAACATGGAGGTAAAGGGTTAGCAGCATAACAAAGCACTACCATAAAGAAATGCTTGTCTTCTGTCAAAGTTAAAACAATGAACTAGCACACACAGTCATAGAGCAGAGTGAAGAGTCTTCTTCATAGGCATTCATGCCAGGCCTGCGCGGTAAACCACCAGCAATATGTATCAAGATATATAAGTCATCAGTAGTTGGTTGATAGTTTCACTTAGGCCTTGAGTGTACCTTAGCCATCTGCATGTTTGTGCCTCTAACTAGAGGCTGTTAAGTATGTGTATGCCGTGTCAAATTGTTATGTTATTGTCAACCCTCAGTGCAGCTTTAATAGAGTGCTGCACTGATGACTTAGTTTGTGGGCTGAACCTGAAGTTAGCAACACAATGACGCTCTCGGCAAAATGCTGTAGGATTTTTCCATTGGATTTTGGAATATTGCAGAAACAAACCCTTATGATCCTCACACGTTTTGTTCATTAGGATAAACTTTACATATTAACATCACTTTAATGAGTTTTGAAGCAAAATGCAATTGCCAGGCTAAAAATATTAACTATCGTTAGGCTGTAAATGAAAGGACATCACGGTAGCATGGCGGCCAGTCGCCACTGCTAAGCTAAAGGTGGCTAATGTTCGGATGATGTTTTTTAGTCTAATTTAGTTATTGACCGCCATTTTTATGACAGTAAGAACCTTCATATATTTACCAGTGGGGTATTTACTGACGTATTGTATTTCGTAGAACAAAATGTGAAAATCCCTTCTATTTGTATAAACCATAGACATTTCAGGAATCTAACACGTTCAAAAAAACATTAACTTCATGACATTTTAAACAATGTTGTCTCCTATCCCGTGCTAGAACCATTATCTACATGGCTTCCTGTATTTTAAGAAGATGCTTTGCAGCAACTCCGTCACATTTCAGTTTTGCCAAAGCAGAGGAAGATGTCAAATTCATTAGGTAACAAATATCTCTAAATAAAGAAACATTGTTGTACTTATGTTTTGATTTGTATAAACCCCCATTTTTTTATTCAATAATCTTAATCTTTTGACCTAATGAAAGAACATTTTAACACAGTTGTTAAATTAAAGTTGAAAGTCATTACACACATCCACAAGGTTTGCATACAGCATAAGAGTCAATGCAACATAAAGCGTGTGTGTGTGTGTTTCTTTGTGTGTGTGTGTGTGTGTGTGTGTGTTTCTTTGTGTGTGTGTGGGTCTTTGTGTGAGAGAGGCAGACAGCTGTTGGCAGTAATGTGCTTTCTCTTGTGTTCAGAGCGCTGACCTCTATTTAGATGCCCAGAGAGAGAGATAACGTCCTGTGATGAGAACTACCCTCAGGCCAGGCTGGGTCACAGCCCACTGTCAGTCATCACACACCACCATCTCAACTGTGTGTGTGTGTGTGTGTGTGTGTGTGTGTGTGTGTGTGTGTGTGTGTGGTGTGTGTGTGTGGTGTGTGTGTGTGTGTGTGTGTGTGTGTGTGTGTGTGTGTGTGTGTGTGTGTGTGTGTGTGTGTGTGTGTGTGTGTGTGTGTGTGTGTGTGTGTGTGTGTGTGTGTGTGTGTGTGTGTGTGTGTGTTGTGTGTGTGTGTGTGTGTGTGTGTGTGTGTGTGTGTGTGTGTGTGTGTGTGTGTGTGTGTGTGTGTGTGTGTGTGTGTGTGTGTGTGTGTGTGAGATCTTGGCATGTTTTCTACCCAACCCAAACAATCCAGTGGTAGTTGCTTTCCTCACATTCCTCTAAGCACGTTTATTACCTTTGTTCAAACTAATCTCTCTGAACACCGGTAGTAGCTCAGGAGCTAACCTGATGCTCACTGGTTCGAGTCCCAGTATGGACCCAAAATAAACAATTGCACTGACAGCTTAAGGTGCCAGGTCACCTCCAGAGCCCTGCCGAGGTCTCTTTGGAAGTTATTTTCTTACATATATTTAGCTATTTGCAAGAAAAATGACCATAAGGTTTTGATTAGTTACTAGTATCACATATATATATTTATCACATATGGCTAACGTTAGCTACGTTAGCAAATGCTACAAGCTTGTAAATTAGTATTATATGCAGGGCTGCACATAACTGGTGCGCAGGTGCGCATGCGCACCTCCGCCAAAAAAAGAGCACCGTGTCATTTGAAAAAAGGCGCATTTGAGAGAGAAGGGAGAAGAGAGGAGAGAGAAAAGAGAGAGAGAGAGAAATATATTTGCGAGTTGCATATGAACTCAGGGCCGGCCCGTAGCACTGGCGTAATAGATGTTCGCCTAGGCCGCCAGATCTGGGGAGGCGCTGCGCTGGCAGCTCTGGGAGGGAAAAAAACATTTTTGACCGTTGGGGCTCATCCTAATTTTCGGCCTTGATGTAACAATATTCATAATTAAGTAAATGTAACAGCCTTTTCACCCCGGTTACACGTTTCATTTGCCCTGTACGATGGGCGCTGTAAGTGATGAAAATGGGGGATGTTGGCTTATCTGGCGCCCGCAGCTCACAGCCAAAGTGCGAGTGAGAGAGGGAGAGAGGGAGGGTGCACCGGTTCCGGCGCTGTTGTTATTATAATCTGGTGCTAGCTGCTTTAACGGATATTAGAAGATGTTTCTACAATAATGTGGAGGGAGAGTCCTCTCCAGTCAGACTGAGAGGCTGATAACTACAGCTCAGTGAGGTAAAGGACTCTGAGTGTTTAGATAGTTCACTTTAGTCTAAGTTAAAACGGTTTGGTCACAATTTATGTAAACACATATTTCCAAGGCACTCCTTTATAATTATTGGGATAAACAGGTTTGAAATCATTCCAATGTATACTATAGGACAGTAACCAAAAACATCCTTTAAAACTGGAGATATAAAAAAAAATGCATAAATAAATGTTAAGGTAAAATAAGATATGAATGAACAACACAAATAAAATAAGTTACATTCATTTGTTATTGGCTATGGTAGGTTATTGGTTATGTTCACATATTTATTTGATTACATCCACTTGTCTAAGATGACAACAGAGACTTTCGACCCAAACCCAGCTGTTGACTTGTGGATGCAAGCATCTAATCGCAGACTCAACCAGAGAGAAAGAAGTAGGCCTACATCATCAGCTACCATGTCTGACAGAGAGGAAGACAGTGAGGAGAACAGTCAGGAGGGTAGTGATGACAGCTTGTAGGATTACTGGTCGTGCTAATGTTGTCTTGTGTTCACCTCTGCATGTGTGTTCTGTGTTCACCTCTGCATGTGTGTTCAGTGCCGTGTGTCTGGCAAATAAAGTCAAGACCCCCTCAAAAGTTACAGTTTATTTCATTTTAAGGATGAGCACCAAGCAACATCTCCAGGTGCTCCTTTGAGAACCAGGGCAAAAAAGTTATGTGCACCCCTGTTTATATGGCTAAATTGGCACCAAACGCTAATACACATGCTACTGTACATACTCGTCCCATAATGTAGCAATATTTCTAATTCTAAACTCAATCATATTTAATCCAGGGTTGCCAACTTTGGGTACCTGGCTGGAGTGAGATTTTGATATCATGGGTTTAATTACAAATATGCGCACTAAATGACTGCTATCGTGTCAGTAGCGGGACCTTAGCATATATATAGGATATATATACAATATATACAAATACACAATATTGGACACAGACTATAAAGGGCACAAAGTTTAATTCACTAATGAAAGTCAAACACATGTTTGTTTCCACTGTTTTATTGTGTGCCTGTCGCGATAAGCAATTAATTGACTTATCGTACGATAAATAAAAATGAACTCGATAAATTGCCATTTACATGAGGATGTGACTAGCAGTTTGAAAGGATGTACTTGAATTATTATTATATATTATCATTATGTCAGTGGTCTAAAATGGTCATACAACGGTGCCGACAATATTATCGTTTATCGCAATAATTTCCGGGAAAATGTGTCCAACAAAATTAATTATCGTGAGAGGCCTATACATGAAACACACACACACAAATCTACAGACATACTCCAAACTGCCAAATATATTAATTAACACACTCTCACTCTCATATACTCTGACTCTATGTTGGCCTAGTAGAACAATAAGCAGCAGACTTTTACTTTTTATCATTTCTACTGGATCTTAGATCTGCGCATGCGCAATACGGGTCAGGATTGACCAACCGGCTCCCACTGCTCTGCTGTCTTAACGTTGTGGGGGCGAATATTTAAAATATGTTTGATGATAAAAACATGAATATGTTACATTTTTCCTCATGAAACATATTTTATATTTTAAATAATGTATATTAATACATATATGTATATAAATACATATATTTGTGGATTTATATTTAGATTGATTTGAATCCATTGAGGATCAGAAATATATTGGTGAACTTTATTTAAATATATGTGGATTTTGTTTTACATAAAACAATAAATATATATATATGTGCATTGAAAAATATTTCTGTAGATTGAGACATTATATATAAATCCTGAATAACATTTGTGAACCCTTCTGTTAGCTTCAATTTATTTTGAGACTGAAATGCCCCATTCTGAGCCCCGTTTGTTCTGACATCGCCTGATAAAATGCATGTCTATTTGGGGCCTGATGTGTATAGTCCTATATGTATGTAATGTATGTATTTGTACTGTATACAATAACAGTGTAAACTAAATTTCCTCAATTGGAATTAAGAAAAGTAAAATGTCTACTTCTACTTTCAGATCCAGCGCTCCAGAAACAAGGAGATGAAGGAGATGTTCCCAGAAGGCTTTGGGATCCATCATGCCGGCATGCTGCGCTCCGACCGCAGCATGATGGAGAGCATGTTCTCCAAAGGCCACCTGAAGGTGCTGGTGTGCACCGCCACTCTGGCCTGGGGAGTCAACCTGCCGGCACACGCAGTCATCATCAAGGTTCTACTCTTTCACTCGGTTCACGGTTTAGCTGTTCCTCTTCAGTTTAAGTTTCTGTCCCTCAGGAAGATATATCATTTGTTGAATCATGACGGTGTGTGTTGTTCTAAATGAACTACAGTGTGTGTGTGTTCATGGTGTTGATGGATCATGTCACCTGGTCTGGTTCATTGATGTGTTTTAATAGTTTGGAATGGAATGGTACAGAGGAAGAAAATATGTAAAATGTTGATGTATACACACACACACACACACACACACACACACACACACACACACACACACAAAAACAACTTCAGCAGACTTACCCTTATATTAAATGTATCACAACACAGATAGTGTTTTATTTTTTCCACACAAAAAAACATTACAATTAATCTCAATATTTATATTTAAATGCTAAATAAAAAAACTGAGCTGTATTTAAAATAGTGTAATCAAATCAAATCAAGTTTTATTTATATAGCACATTTATAAACGATTTTTGGTGGAGCCAAAGTGCTGTACATATAATAAAAATAGCCTACAGTAGAGACACTTTACAGCAAATACAACAGCACAGATTGTTCAGAATATCAGTGTGAGAAGAAAAAAAAATGAGTGTACTGGAACTGTATTGGCATCACATCTGAAGAAGCCTGTGTTTTTGATATAAACATAGTTAGGTACTGCACAGAGCTCCGGGGATGAAACTGTCCCTGAGTCTGCCGGTGTTGGTCCAGGTTCTGGTGGCTTAAGTGTTTCCAGTCCTCTCAACCCCCGTCTGTCTCTTGTCTCTATAACAGGGGACTCAAATCTACGATGCCAAGCGTGGGACCCTGGTGGATCTAGGCATCCTGGACGTCATGCAGATCTTTGGACGTGCAGGTCGTCCGCAATTTGACAAGTACGGTGAGGGCACCATCATCACCACCCACGACAAACTGAGCCACTACCTGACCCTGCTCACCCAGCAGAACCCCATCGAGAGCCAGTTCCTGGACAGGCTGGCCGACAACCTGAACGCTGAGGTCAATCCCACAGTGACACCACAGATCTAGTGTGTGTTTTACCAAGACAGAAATCACCTTCAGGGTTTTTCACTGAAATATCTGATGCATTACAGCATGAAGCCCTCATTACATCATATCATTAATTACAATGTGACCTAAAAAATGTAAGACAACACAAAATAAATGAGTTAAATGTATTAAAAAGAAGCAATAAAATAAAGGTAAGATAGTAGCTGTAGTTTGTTTGTTGATGTGTGATTATATATCATGTCCTATGGAGTGTGTCATTCATAATCTGATAAAGGCTTCATTGTGAGCACATCGTCAGACCTGTTCTGTTTTGATGAAAAACACATTGATGTTTTTCAAATGAAACTCTCTTCCCACTGTTCAGTGACACGACGAACAGATTCATCTCAAGACAGTCTTCAGTCTGACCAGTGTGATGGTCCAAAGCATGCTGTAGAATGAAATAGTCTCACAGTTAGGAAGAGTAGAAGAAAAAAAAGTTCTGTTGAGACTGCAGTATCTGGAGTGTCCACTAGATGGAGACAGAGACTGATGTGTTCCTCTCTCCTGACTCAGATCGCTCTGGGGACCGTCACCAATGTGGAGGAGGCTGTGAAGTGGCTCAGCTACACCTACCTGTTCGTCCGCATGAGGGCAAACCCACTGGCATACGGCATCAACCACAAGGCCTATCAGGTCAGGGGTCCTATGTGTCTGTCTGTCTGTCTGTCTGTATGTCTGTCTGTCTGTCTGTCTGTCTGTCTGTCTGTCTGTCTGTCTGTCCGTCCGTCCGTCCGTCCGTCCGTCTGTCCAACAGGGGAGATTCAGCTCTTCACTCTTGTCTTTTTAAAATGACACATATAGGCCCGAAATGAACAAACGCACAAACAGGACCTATAGACAGGCAAAAATAAAGAGATGGCAGAGCGAAGGAACTGCCAATGGGAACAGTTGAGGGCCTTGCTCAAGGACATCTCAGCAGTGCCCAGCAAATGAACTGGCACCTCTCCAGCTACCAGTTCACATGCTGTATATTGATCTTATCTGGGCTTGAACTGGCACCATTCGGTTTCAAAGCCTAGTCCCTACGGACAGAGCTACTGTTCACCTGTCTATACCTGGTCTAATACCAATGGACTCATTTATAGAAACCAATAGCATTTTAAAAGGTTCAAAGAACCTGACACAAGTAAGAACAAATATTCTGATGATCCCATGTTTTTATTCTTAAGTACATTTTTCTCTCCTGAATTCATGAACAGGTAAAACAACATTTTTGCCGGTATAATATTTTTTATGGGGTTCATTTTTTTCTCATTAGTGGAAAGAAAGACCTAGCTAGCTATAACTTTTTTTTTTTAATATGGTTGGTGAAAGATCAACAATCAACATCAGGATCCTTGAAGGTCACTGCAGTTATGTAAAATTGTTATCCAATTTCAATCTAATATTACGCTTAACTTAATTGTGACCGTTACTGCCACTCGTGTTTCAATATTTCAAAAGTTCTAATTGTATTATTTTAAGTTATTTCTGCTTGAAAAAATACAGTTGTTTATCGAAGTAATTGAAAAACAGTAACTGCATAAAAAGCAGATTTAAGTGCAGCCTTACAAAGAAAAGAGAAATCAATATGCAACACTGACTTAACATATCTTAAAATAACGGTGGTGTTCACATGTTTCAGATGGACCCCTCCCTGATGCTGTACAGGAAGGAGCTGGTGGTGGAGGCCGGCAGGAAGCTGGACAAGGCCCGCATGATCCGCTTCGAGGAGCGCACTGGGTACTACGCCTCCACCGACATGGGCAGGACCGCCAGCCACTTCTACATCAGATACAACACCATCGAGGTACACTCACTGCTCCATCACATACTACACTCACTGCTCCACCAGATACTACACTCACTGCTACATTACATTACATGTCACTTGTTAGACGCTTTTATCCAAAGCGACTTACATACTGAATACTGTGGGCAATCCCCACAGGAGCAATGTGGGGTGAAGTGTCCCAGGGACACAACGACATGCTGACTGCAGTGGGACTCGTTTTCATCAATCAAACGTTGCATCACTGTGTCAGACATAATGACATGTCCTAATTACAACTTTATTAACTTGGTATATATGTTTCCCCCTCCTCTGAAGACCTTCAATGAAATGTTCAACTCTCAGAGGACAGAAGCAGACATCTTCAGCATCGTGTCCAAGGCTGAGGAGTTTGACCAGCTGAAGGTGAGAGGTCGTCAGCTTAAGCCAGAGCTTCAGTCAGAGCTTAAGCCAGAGCTTCAGTCAGAGCTTCAGCCAGAGCTTCAGTCAGAGCTTCAAACAGTCAGAGCTTCAGTCAGAGCTTCAGTCAGAGCTTCAGTCAGTCAGAGCTTTAGTCAGAGTTTCAGTCAGAGCTTCAGTCAGAGCTTCAGTCAGAGCTTCAGTCAGAGCTTCAGTCAGAGCTTCAGTCAGAGCTTCAGTCAGAGCTTCAGTCAGAGCTTCAGTCAGAGCTTCTGAAGCTTCAGTCAGTCAGAGCTTCAGTCAGAGCTTCAAACAGTCAGAGCTTCAGTCAGAGCTTCAGTCAGTCAGAGCTTCAGTCAGTCAGAGCTTCTGAAGCTTCAGTCAGTCAGAGCTTCAAACAGTCATAGCTTCAGTCAGAGCTTCAGTCAGAGCTTCAGTCAGTCAGAGCTTTAGTCAGAGTTTCAGTCAGAGCTTCTGAAGCTTCAGTCAGTCAGAGCTTTAGTCAGAGTTTCAGTCAGAGCTTCAGTCAGTGCTTCAGTCAGTCAGAGCTTCAGTCAGTCAGAGCTTCTGAAGCTTCAGTCAGTCAGAGCTTCTGTCAGTCAGAGCTTCAGTCAGTCAGAGCTTCTGAAGCTTCAGTCAGTCAGAGCTTCTGTCAGTCAGAGCTTCAAACAGTCAGAGCTTCAAACAGTCAGAGCTTCAGTCAGTCAGTGCTTCAGTCAGAGCTTCAGTCAGAGCTTCAGTCAGTCAGTGCTTCAGTCAGTGCTTCAGTCAGTGCTTCAGTCAGAGCTTCAGTCAGTGCTTCAGTCAGTCAGAGCTTCAGTCAGTCAGAGCTTCAGTCAGTCAGAGCTTCAAACAGTCAGATCTTCAGTCAGAGCTTCAGTCAGTGCTTCAGTCAGTCAGAGCTTCAGTCAGTCAGAGCTTCAAACAGTCAGAGCTTCAGTCAGTCAGAGCTTCAAACAGTCAGAGCTTCAGTCAGTCAGAGCTTCAAACAGTCAGAGCTTCAGTCAGTCAGAGCTTCAAACAGTCAGAGCTTCAGTTAGAGCTTCAGTCAGTCAGAGCTTCAGTCAGAGCTTCAGTCAGTGCTTCAGTCAGTCAGAGCTTCAGTCAGAGCTTCAGTCAGTCAGTGCTTCAGTCAGAGCTTCAGTCAGTCAGAGCTTCAAACAGTCAGAGCTTCAGTCAGAGCTTCAGTCAGTCAGAGCTTCAGTCAGAGCTTCAGTCAGTCAGTGCTTCAGTCAGAGCTTCAGTCAGTCAGAGCTTCAGTCAGAGCTTCAGTCAGTCAGAGCTTCAGTCAGTGCTTCAGTCAGTCAGGCTCTGAGGTCTCTACAGCATATCTCATCTGTAGTCCTGGTTCTGATCCAAAGTATAATTTGTGTGTGTGTGTGTGTGTGTGTGTGTGTGTGTGTGTGTGTGTGTGTGTGTGTGTGTGTGTGTGGTGTGTGTGTGTGTGTGTGTGTTGTGTGTGTGTGTGTGTGTGTGTGTGTGTGTGTGTGTGTGTGTGTGTGTGTGTGTGTGTGTGTGTGTGTGTGTGTGTGTGTGTGTGTGTGTGTGTGTGTGTGTTGCAGGTGCGTGACGAGGAGCTGGAGGAGCTGGACCAGCTGCTGAGTAACTACTGTGAGCTGCCGGCTGCGGGGGGGGGTGGAGAACGGCTACGGGAAGATCAACGTGCTGCTGCAGACCTACATCAGCCGGGGGGAGGTGGACAGCTTCTCCCTCATCTCTGACCTGGGCTACGTGGCTCAGGTGAGGGACAGCACACACACACTTCAATATATCAGATATTTCATAATAATAATATAATGTTTTAGTGTATATTATTTAAAACATTAACCTGGTTAAACAAAGATTTAATAATTCCAATAAATATATATTTATACTATAACATAAACTAAAACTAATAAATATATTAAAACATTTGTTAAGCCATGCTTTCATTTTGAACTTAAAGGTCCCCTATTATACTGTTTTTCATCAATATATTATAGGTCTCAGAAGAGTTTGGCTCCAAACACCAAACAGATCATTGCAGCATCCCATAATCCCCTCTGTTTCAGCCCTGTTTCCAAAGTGCTGATTCTCTGTCTGGGGGGGTTACCTTGGTTGGTGATTGGCTAATGGTTAACGCCAGTTTCCACCGGGTCCGTCTGCGCCATGTTACGGCTGCGCCGCGGCGGTCGTGAGGATCGCGGCCACTCTAGTCAATGGGTGCTACTCCACCACACGCGCCGCGTTACGGCTCAGACGCGTCCCAGAAGCGGCTCGGCGCAGCGCTTCTCTAAAATTAGGATGAATCCTATTTTTGCCGCGGCGCAGCCGTAACATAAGGTCGGGCAGGCAGCCCCCCCCTTGCAGGAAGTGGAAAGGTGAGCATCCGGGCCAGGCCCATTCCCCACATATACTAATTTAGCAGACCCCCCTCCTTCATCACAACACCTCCACTACGATACGCACAATGGACGACGAGGTTTTCATCATGGAAGTGGAAAAACACACTATTTTATATGAATTAATTAATAATTTATAACGACAATAAACACAATTTAAACAGACACAACAATTTAAACAGACACAAAAATAAAACATTTAACTACGTAGCCTACTTACTTTCTTGTAGAAGTACAAATGTCCAGGATGCCCGAATCAATAACAAAACTGCGAGCCTGCACGCACGACGCTACGCTTCTGAAACGCTTCTGGGACGCGTCCGGTGGGTTATGGCGCTAGAGGAGGTCGGACCAAAACCGCGGCGCAGCCGGGACGCGGCGGAAACTGGGGGTTACACAAGCCAAAAATAATCGTTATGACATCATAAGGGGGCAAAATCTGATCAGCTCATTTTCAGACAGGTTTTTATAGAAATGGATCAGGACAAAAAGAGAGAGAATCTTTGTTCCTGGAACTTTCAGAGTCTCTTTACACAGAGGGGACACATGGTTATCTGTAAAAGACATGAAAAAGTGGATTTTGCACAATAGGTCCCCTTTAAGGAACATTAAGTCTGGTGTTGGAATACCTGAATCTCAATAATGTTTGCAAAGAAATTAATTAGTCAAAAAATAATCTGTGAAGCCTCTGTAGTGAAGTTTTATTTATTTATCAAATCTGACACAGGATATTTTAAAGTTTGTTATTTCATTGGGTGTATATTTCTTCTTGTTTAATTCCTTTTTAAAAAGAATACAGTCACAAGCCAATCGGCGAAATTTGCACTAGAATATAATGTTTAACTCATCTCACATTATCCACATTCCCAAAAGGTCCCATAGTAATGACAAATATATTTTGATCAAAATTGCACAAATAGGACTGATGTGTGTCTGCTGGAAAGTCTGTGATGGTAACTATAGTCAACCCAGTCTCATGGCATTTCGTGTTCACCAACACGATTTTTAATCTATTGATTCGTGTTCACCAACACGATTTTCCCCTTTTTTTCGTGTTGCACAGCACGATTTTATAAGCAATGTATTTCTACTGGTAATGACGCTCATGGAAGCACGGCATTCGTTTGTGTCGCTGCCCTTAAAGGCAATGTGAGCGTCCATTCTCATTGGATAACGGAGAATTGTACACCCGGAAGTAAGTATTCCCCTTACTGTCGATTGATTTTACAGTGATATCTGCACTACTCATCGACTAAAAAACACCAGATTATCCTTGTTAATTACACAACATTGATTGGTTTAAATTGTGTGCAATGCTTTTGTATTTTTCCCCTTCGATTCGGAGAAACAAATATTTTTTCGGAGTAAAGGATGGCAGAAGACACTACACTACCCAGAATCCCCAGCTATCGTTTGGACTACACCATGTGCTCTGTTTGACAAACCCCGTTTTTTTCACCATTCATTCCAATGGCTGGCGTCTATGTCACGTGATCTTCAAATTTCTCCCTGCAGAAAAAAAAAACATGGCCGAACTTCGTTTTATTCTCGGTGGAAACTGCCTATTTTAAAGTTAGTTTGGCCATTAAAATGCGTTTTGATGTCATTTGATGCGAGAAATATGAGTTGTTATTTCAGATTATGTGTGCAGTGGATGTACATGATCTTTAGTTTGCTAGTTATTACGAAGATTACTTCAGGAAATTGCGTCCAAAGTACGTTTTCATTTCATTACCAAGGTGGTTGCTAGGGACGCTGCTATCGATATTATTTATGTTATGTTGTGTAACTGTTTAATGATGTTATCTTTATTGCTACCCCCTTCCCTGTCAATGTATAGTGTTGGTCCACAGCGCAAACATATTAGTTTAACAAAATCCGCATCTAAAGATAGCCTACGTTATTTTCCCCTGTGCAATTCCAGTCTCACATCTCACAGCACATCGTCATTAACAAATACCGGAAACAGACCGAAAACTTTAAAAAAAATACTTTATTCCGAGTGTGTGCTTGCTTCTCTTTGAAAGTCATCACATAACGGCATTGTAATACACGGTTCGGCTGCATTACATATTACATATCTGCCGTAGTTCTGTATTTATAGAGCCCTGATGAGAAGACTTCTAGACAAACATGAGGAACTGAAAACGTGACGTGGATCATAAATATATCAGCCATTAAACAACATCTTACATTTCTTTTCACACAATACGTCTCCTTGCAGTATCAACACTAATTCGGCTGACTTTTATATTTGATCCAATTGGTAGATAGGCTGTATTTACACCATAAAGGTGCACAGCTGATATAAAGGGACACCTAGTGGTTAAAGCATGTTATTGAATTTCATTATTTTTATTATTAGATATGAACAGTGTCAGGACTAACGCCGTTACAAATAACGCGTTACTGTAACGCCGTTATTTTTGGCAGTAACTAGTACTCTAACGCATTACTTTTTAAATTCAGTAACTCAGTTACCGTTACTACATGGTGCGTTACTCCGTTACTGCGTTAGTTATATAGTCAACAGCCAGGCGAACAGAGATGAGAACTGTACTTAAGTACAGTACTTGAGTAAATGTACTTAGATACTTCCTGTGTCACATGCGGAGACGCGCTGTGGGCGTGTTTGTGTTGTTTACTAACAAGGCTATCATGGCGGCGGCGGAGCTCAAGTCTAATTTCTCCACCTGGAGATATTCTCACTATTTCACTTTTGTCGAGCACAAAGAAAATAACGTTTTAGTTAAATGTAAGTTGTGTCTTGGTGGGTCAAAGAGCCTATCTACTGCCCAAACCAGTAATTCAAATCTCTTAAAACATCTGCAAAAACAACATGCTGGGACGAAGCTAGTAGCTAAGACCACAGAGACTCAGCCGACGCCACTCCACCTCGACCTAAGCAACAGCGGCAGGATTTTAACCAAAGGACTGCTGGCCAGGGAAAAGTCGATAAAGCCATTGCACGGTATGTTGTAGAACACATCCAGGCTATTGCTACAGTGGAGTCACCCGCTTTCAGGGAGCTAGTTAGCATGATAGCATGTCGGGGCGGCACACGGCATATGGGACGGAAAACTTTTTCCAACTACCTGGAGAAAGAATATACAAAAATGGAAAGCCAGCTAATATCGATGCAATCCAGATTGCATATAATGCATGTCAAGTTGATCAACAGATTGTATTATTCTCCAATGTAATAACAGTACTGAAATGAAGGCTATAAGGGCATTAATGGGAGACATTTGTACAAGTAACGAAAAACGTTACTTTTCACAGTAACGTATTACTTTTGTGTGTGAGTAACTAGTGAAGTAACGGAGTTACTTTTGACATGAAGTAACTAGTAATGGTAACTAGTTACTGGTTTTCAGTAACTAGCACAACACTGGATATGAATAGGATCCCTATAAAGTATATTCATTACTCGTTATGCTCTACTAATAGTTAATTAAAGACTGTATATAATGACTATTTTGCACATCCCTTTCAAGATTTTCTAAGGTTTATTGACATATCATATAGGCCTACACAACTATGGTGTAGTTATGCATTGAATGAAAAACTTGGGTCGCAGGTTCCTCAATAGTGCATTACAAGACATCTATCAATATTTGTGCGTACCTCCAGCAATGTTAACTATGTTGAAGCACTTATTTTAACTGATATTATACATAATGTATTATACTCTTATAAGATGTATGTAGATATTTCATCTCCGGCCTTGTCCGGTATTGAACAATCAATAAATAAAGAACACAGAATTGTTAAATATAAAACACAGAATTTGTGTGATTATACTAAATGATTTACAAATAAACACCACTGCATATTTAACTGTTACACATGCTGATGTAACGCAAATGTTCCAACTTTGGATCAATAAAGTATATCTTATCTTAAGCTGATCGATGGCTACTGCCATATTTGCAAAATGTGCCTCTGAACCTTGACAAGTGCATGTTTCAGGCTTATCAATTAATGTAATGTTATCAATTAACAACAGGGTTCACAAACATAAGACCAGCTGTTAAATAAAGCTCTTCTGACCTTAGCTGGCATGTGTGTATATATATTAATGCTGCCCATTATGGGCACAAGCAATTTTCACCCATTTATTAATTATATGTTTTAAATGTGAGTGTTTCCTATCCCCTAAACCTCCAGGGAAGTACACAGTTTAATACTGGCAACTTCTTATTATGGGAAATATGAAAACGTCTTTTAAAACTACAACTCCCAGTAGAGACGTGCCATAGATAGAGAACATGTTGCGAAACAGAATAGCCAGCATGTGTAGTTCTGGTGACGGGGTGGGGGACGCGGGAGACGCGGTGGACCCGTTCAAATCCAGTTTTGGACAGTCTGCCGTGGTTCCATCCCATTTCAAGTGCTGTTCGAGGCTCCGCGTAACCCTCGGAGCACACTCACCAATCACAGAGCTTGAGGACTATCACGGGGTTTGTCAAACAGAGCACATGGTGTAGTCCAAACGATAGCTGGGGATTCTGGGTAGTGTAGTGTCTTCTGCCATCCTTTACTCCGAAAAAATATTTGTTTCTCCGAATCGAAGGGGAAAAATACAAATACAATTTAAACCAATCAATGTTGTGTAATTAACAAGGATAATCTGGTGTTTTTTAGTCGATGAGTAGTGCAGATATCACTGTAAAATCAATCGACAGTAAGGGGAATACTTACTTCCGGGTGTACAATTCTCCGTTATCCAATTGCCTTTAAGGGCAGCGACACAAACGATTGCCGTGCTTCCATGAGCGTCATTACCAGTAGAAATACATTGCTTTTAAAATCGTGCTGTGCAACACGAAAAAAAGGGGAAAATCGTGTTGGTGAACACGAATCAATAGATTACAAATCGTGTTGGTGAACACGAAATGCCATGAGACTGGGTTGCTATAGTGCACCAAGGAGGATTTATTGTCAGGTTGTAACTCACTAAATGTCTCTGGAGCAGAAGAGCATGTACCAGGATCACCAGGGTCCGGTTCTGCCCAGACTGCACACCTCCCTGCGTTCCCTCAGAGAGTCAGTCTGACTCTGATACCAGACACACACACACACACACACACACACACACACACACACACACACACACACACACACACACACACACACACACACACTTCAATAACCCCCTCCAGAGTGCATTCAGACCATGTGATCACATTAACACCTGAGCAGATCAATCACAGCATCACGGTCACCTGACCTCTCCACCAGAGCTGACCCATCCATCAGTGAGCGTCTGACCCCCCCCCACCTCCTGCTGATGATTAATCACCATGGAAATTCTTTAATTGAGCAAAAACACTGGAAAACACAAACGGCTGCTGTGAACTGGAACTGATGTCCTACAACACTGAAGGTTTAACTAAAAGGCTGTCATTAAAAACATAGCCGAAAAGTGTTCACATTGAATACTACAGTCAGTTAAATATGAGTTAAATCACTTTATATCACCACTGACTTTAGATCAATTCAAATGTTTTCCCTTGTTGTATTCCAACTTTAAAGATACTGTTAAAATGCTTTTATTCATTCATTTGTATTTAACCTTATTTAACCAAGAAGTCTCCTTGAGAGTCCTGTCCAAGATAGGTAGCAGCACAGTCACAGAACCCAGGCTAAAAACAAGAACAGAGAAAATACTGTATCATGGTCTCAATCTGAACATCATCATAAAAAGCATCTACAGACAGTCCTCTGCTTCTCTGTCACTCAGAGAGACCAGCTCGTGTTGCAGCTGGTTCCAAGTATATAGAGCAGCAGAACTAAACACCCTTTTCCCAGCTCACTCTGGACTTTTGGAAAACAAGTCCTCGGAGCTAAGCAGGTGGCTTTCTGTAGTTTTCTGAAGGATATCATTCTGTATATAAGATGGAACACCAAAAACAGCCTCATAAATAAGGATGTGCCAATGGTTCCTCTACGGGCGGCCAGAGCAGACCATCCAACCAGAGCATACTACGATCCGTGGTGTGTGTTATAACCCTCAGTGCCCCGTGGTAGATGATATCTAAATTGTGTAGGCATGTAGAAGCTGCATTCATATAAACACCATCACCATAGTGTAACACACACATAAAGGCTGAAGTGACAAGTCTCTTTTTGGCTTTGAAAGGAAATCAAGACTTCTGACCTAATTCTATTGCTGTCATCAGTTACTACTTGGCTTGTTGTTAATGATTCAGTCCCCCCCCCCCCCCCCCCCACAGAACTCTGCTCGTATCGTCAGGGCTCTGTTTGAGATCGCTCTGAGGAAGCGGTGGCCGGCCATGACCTACCGCCTGCTCACCCTCTGTAAGGTGATCGACAAGCGGCTGTGGGGCTTCGCCCACCCCCTCCGTCAGTTCCCCAACCTCAGTCACCTGGTCCTGAACCGCCTGGAGGAGAAGAAGCTCACCGTGGACAAGCTGAAGGAAATGAGGAAGGATGAGATCGGTAAAAACAACACACAGTCCAAGTTTCACCAGTGTATGGACAGACTGTATGAATGGCTCAATTCAGTTATAAAATCCCATAATCCCCTCTGTTTCAGCCCTGTTTCCAAAGTGCTGATTCTCTGTCTGTTACTTTAGATGAAAATAAGGAGCCCCTCCCCACGCCCCTCTGAGAGATATTTGGTTACAAAGAACTCAATGGTGCTCTAGGAGGAGATTCAGGTGATAAGGTGGGGGGGGGGGGGGTTACCTTGGTTGCTGATTGGCTAATGGTTACATAAGCCAAAAAATCGTTATGACATCATAAAGTGGCCAAAATCTGATCAGCTCATTTTCAGACAGGTTTTTATAGAAATGGATCTGGACAAAAAGAGAGGGGGTCGTTTTTCCTGAAACTGTCAGAGTCTCTTTACACAGAGGGGACACATGTTTGTGTAGAAAAGATGTGAAAAAGTGGATTTTGCATAAAAGGTGACCTTTAATCTAAACACTTTCTCCATGTTAACCTGTTTTCTACATATTCTGCTGTAAGATTACAATCAAACCGGCAGCAGACTTGAAATCATAGGGGGGCATTTGATTTCTATGGTAAAAAAAAAAGGTGGCAGCGCCAATATGTTGACCCACATTTGGATATAGTGATATTGTATATATATTCTGGTCCTATTGACATGCAAAGAAAATGTCTTAATCATTGAAAAATGTTGCTTTACCTGGAACACACATTTATTTGAAATGTTAAATATTTATGCTTTGACACACACACACAGTGTTAGTTCAGAGACCTGTGTGTGTTCTGACACGCTGTTTTGTTATGACCATCTCACATTCACACACATTAGGTTTGTAACACCAGTCCCTTCTACCTCTACGTTTTATTGTTTTATATTAACGTAACGTCAAAATTGCCCTTGACCTCTTAAAAACGTTTTTCAAATGTAAATCTTTATTGTTAAGTTGGGATAATCCTTCTTGTTCCTGGAACAACTGGAAATGCTGATTATGAAACAGCCAAGTGATTGGGATTGATAGTGAGTGAAACCAGTTAAACTCAGAACAGTGGGTATGACAACACTCATGACAAAGACATGTGTGCTGAATTTAGCAGGTTTAGCACCTGTTATTTGAATATCAGGTTTTCATGGGGATGTTCACTTTAATCTGCATGAGCCACATCAGCCTTCTATTAGTTTTGTATAGGTTTATATTAATAAACATATGGAACACATGATAACGGCCTTGCATTGTTCCCAGGTCACATGCTGCACCATGTGAACATCGGACAGTCGGTCAAACAGTGTGCCCACCAGATCCCTGCCATCACCATGGAGGCCAACATCCAGCCAATCACACGCACCGTGCTCCGCGTGCGGCTCGTCATCACGCCTGACTTCCGCTGGCACGACCAGGTAAACATGGAGGACACTGTAACACTGCCATTCTGCTGCTTCTCTTCAGATTAAAAATTATAATAATTACAAGTCAGTGCCATACTCTACAAGAGTTTATTTTTGTTGCATTTGTCAACCCTCTAGTTTTAACTACAACATAACGATGCAAGATTTTTCAGAAAAGTGAATTAAAAGGAATCAAGTTAAATGATGATTAAAAATGATTTAAAAGACTCGAGTTGAGTAAATATATTATAATACATATAATATTCAATTCATAAAAATCCCAAAAGTGTTTGCCCACAATTACAATCAGTCAGTTGTGCATGTAAATAGGATATTGATATTAAAGAATATTGCTATTGCCACTTAATGGTTACTTTTAACCAGGCTTTATATTGTTGCAATGTGGGTGAAATGTCCCTTTCCCAATAAAGGAATTGATTGATATTTAACCCGGCATTAATAAGCAAAACTTATAATACAAAAACCGTGTGTCCATAATCAGGGGAGGTCATGAGGGAAAAGTGATGGTTAACAGATAACTAGAAAAGGCATTTCCTACAGGAAATGCGTGCGAATGCTGTAAACTGTGAACATTTGTGCCTGAATTTCGCTGAAAAAGCTGAATATGTTATCAGCTGAATGGTCTCTGTAGCTGCTTTTAGCCTCAAAAACGTGTGTTGCTGAACTTAGCGGAGAAATGCAGAAAAGTTAAATGATTTGAATCAAATTGTTACAGCTCAAATGCATTGCAATGACTTTGTTGGAAACTTGAAAGTGAAATGTTAAACTGGAAAAGTAGGAAAAATAGTGAAGAAGCTTAATATTTAAAAGAAAAGGTTTTAAAAAAGGTATAAACAGCAACATATATATCCTCAATGTTCTGAAATAGCTGAATAATGTAATAGTTGAATGGTTTCTGCAGCTGAAAATGAAGGAGTTAAATATCAGATGTAAGTAGTAGTGAATTAATTTGTATTAAGATGAGAAAAGAAAGTAAAAACGCTTTGAAAAGCAGCAGAATATTTGAACTGCAAACGTTTGAACTAAAACCAAACATCACCAATAATGTATAAAATATGTGGAACGTGTTGAAGTCTCCATCAGACAGAAGAGAATAGGCTGAGACAGTCTTTAAACTCCAGCCTGTTTGTTTGTGTTTGAGGTGACGACGTTATGAAACACCTGTGTGTGTGTGTGTGTGTGTGTGTGTGTGTGTGTGTGTGTGTGTGTGTGTGTGTGTGTGTGTGTGTGTGTGTGTGTGTGTGTGTGTGTGTGTGTGTGTGTGTGTGTGTGTGTGTGTGTGTGTGTGTGTGTGTGTGTGTGTGTGTGTGTGTGTGTGTGTGTGTGTGTGTGTGTGTGTGTGTGTGTGTGTGTGTGTGTGTGTGTGTGTGTGAGCGAGCCCAGAGATCAAAGGTTTCCATGGAGATGTGCTGTGAAAGGAGAGCCTTTCCATTGTTCTGAAGGAGAAATAAACCTCTTACGTTTCTTGATTTTACATGTTAGCAACGCAGGCCAAAGACAGATAGCAGCAGGATGCAAGGAGAGGTTTTACTTCTAACGATACACCCTCACTTTTAAAATAATTCAAAACTTTACTTTGCGGTTAAAGATTAATATAAAGCAAATAAAAAATACTCCATACAGTCATGTCTTTAATCAATAACAGAATTAAGATGCAATAAAATAAGACAAGGCTTACGGGTTAAATCTGATTACTAACCGGTGGCACGTTAATGCAAATCTACAGTAACCAGGTTTCTACAGAGCATGAAAACTTTGAGTCCAATTCCCCACGTAACCTGATAACTCACGATATATTGATCCCTTCAACAATATGTTGAATTGCTCCTCTTGCATTGGAGTCACGTAAAAATAAAAAAAGCCATTCAAAATGTATTTAAAAAAACGACTTAAACTGCTGCATAAAACACAACACAGCTGATTCTCCTTCACTGTAGCCGCCTTGAACACTAGAACCATCTTCGGTGATGTTGTTTTGGGTTGGATCAGCTGTAGAGGAATAGATGCTGCTGTTAATCTGACGTCAGCTGCTATCCTCCATGAAAGAACAAGCTACCATCTCCTCACACCAGGGTTTCCGCTACGATTTTTTCTCGCCGGTCAAATGTCCGGACAGAATTAATTTTACCGGACAAATTTGAAACTTACCGGTCATGTTTCAATAATAATATTAATAATTGTGTTGCAGTTTCCGTTAGCAGGTAATTACCGGACTAGGACCGGATATGCTGATGTTTAAAACTCAGTTAATGGGAGTCATTTTTGTATTGCTTCAGTTTATAATCGTTACAGATCGAAAAATTCAGATTCATTTTTCAATAAATGATTCAACAAACAACATAATTATTACATTCAAACAAACTACTTGCAGTAGATGAAGTACAATATTCAAAAAGTTTAAATTAACTTTGAATAATAACACGGGAGAAACGGATCCTCTCTTTTCCTCTCTCCCTCTCTTTCTCTCCTGACAGCCCGTCAGTTTCTCATGCAGTGCGCTAAACAGTGGGCGGGGCAGCCGGGGCTTCAGGTGATTATGGAGCAGCTGATCTGATCTCTCTCTTGCGTCCGGTTATACTTCACTCGCGTTTATGTCCATATCGATCAGATCCAGCTCTCCTGGTCGGCCTTTATAGAGAGCACAGATCAAACTATTAAGAGTGAATATCGGCCGATAATGACCGGCGGCCAATCGATCGGAGCATCGGACATTTTGACCGGCAGGTTTTGAATTTAGCGTTTTTTATTAAATTGTACCAGCTAAAACCGGTAATTACCGGGAAACGGAAACCCTGGCTCACACCTCTACAGGATGTGAGACATTTGGCCAGACAACCCCTTATCATCCAGGGCTGTTCCAAGTGGCTGTCTCCTCTTCCTGTCTCCTGATATGCGTCACTACACACACCAACACCAGTGTACTCCCATTCTCACAAGGAGAGAAGAAGAGCAGCTCCCCCTACCTTGTTACTCTTACAGCCATGGAATCTCCATCTGTCCTTGGGAGCCTGAATGTCCCACCTCAGGGGGCAGACTGGCCAGAGAGGATCATGGGAAGCTTATTGCTGGAATCTGAGTGGAATAGGAAGCTCATTGTAGCGGGGGAGAATATGAAGATGAATGTTTATGTCCGATTAGCAATGCATGCTCCAATCATGGGAGAGAGGTAACTGAGAGCAGGGGCTTAGCAGTGATCCGGTTGCAGAGCCCGACACATGTCCTGACACAACACCCACAGTGTGGTCAATACTGTCCTTTATTCTTCTTTAATTCATATAATATAAGATAAAGCATGTACTCTGTATTGCCAAATACACAAATCAGAGGTGCTCAGTAGAAATTCAACAGTGCAGTGTTGGAGCCTTGCAAATATATAGAATGAGCCTCAGTCACTTATTGTCATATTGCATAATTCAAGGAAATGTGGGAAGTCTTACAAGTTAATTAGCCAGGCTACTAAAATGTTTATCTCTTTATAATGTCCATACTGTTTTTAAAAACCAGATGTGACAGTCATTTTAAATTAAGTAAAATTCAGATATGGGGCATTCTACCAAATTAGTACAAAGTGCGTTCCCACGACAAGAAAAACTATTTAACAAAATAATTAAGTATTCAGACATAGATATTTACTAAGAATATGTTATGGTCTATTCAAACTAGGGCCGGGACTCGATTAAAAAAATTAATCTAATTAATTAGAGGCTTTGTAATTAATTAATCGAAATTAATCGCATTTTTAATCGCATATAAATATTTGACCTGAGAACAGTGAGAAGCAATTTTTTTCACATGGATTTTAGTATACCATTAGGCGCATTCACACCGCAGTACTTTTCCCACAAAGGTTCATGAGAACTTAGTTCATGAGAACAAATGAAGCCGCTGACGTCACTTCTTCTTCTTCTGCTTTGGGTTTACTAGCAGGCGGCAAACCACTTCACGGCGTATACTGCCGCCCAAAGTCCCCGGCCGGAAGTCCCCAGCAGCTTCTACTGAAGCCTTCCGAGTAAATCGCCAGAACGCCGACACCTCCTCATCTCCACCGCTCCCATGTTTTATTTTGTGTTGCCATAAGTTAGTCTCTCTGCGTTTCTGCGCTGGGCTAATGCTAATGCTAATAATGCTAATGCGAGGATAATAAAATGGCGGCTTCACCAAACTTTTTGGGAGTTTTACGGGGCGTGGTTTGCAATCCGCCCAGCCAATCAGAAATATAGCTCTTTTCTCACAAGAGAGCCGTACGAAAGTCCCTGCTCTCTAGCAGCTCTCTGCTCTCTAGCAGGGACTTTCGTGGGGGTAAAAAGGTTCTCATGAACTAATTTTAGTACCGGCTCTTTTTGGTGTGAACCATAGACTGTATGGTGTGAACGCGATAAAAGAGGCTAACGTCCACGCTAGCTTCCACGCTAGCTGCTATATGTTTTGCATTGAGGTGATACTTGAGGCTTGATGTGCTGCGGTGATATGCGAATTCCTTTTTGCATAATTTGCACACAACCGTGCTCTTATCGACGCTTCCATCCGTCCGTTTTTTTAAACAAAATGTCCCACTGTTGTTCACTGTGGTTTGTTGTTGTCTGAAGTCATGAACGTTAGTTGGTGCTCCAGTATAATCGGTACGCCTGAAACTCATCCAGTGAGAAACGTTCCGCAGTGCAAAAATAAGTGCGATTAAAATGCGTTAATTTTTTTAACGCGTTAATTTTTGTGTAATTAATTCATCTTAATTAACGCGTTAAAGTCCCGGCCCTAATTCAAACACAAGGCATTACATTATATAGTGATAAGCTTGATATATACAAAAACATCATTTATAGGGTACTTTCTATTGGAAAGTAGCTGTCCCCAACCCTGACATCTACATTTCAATTTCTGTAAATAACACTTATGTTCAATGGTGTATTTAGAAGATCATTATGATTACATTCAAACAGAAGTTGGAATATTTAGATTTATTGTGGGTATCATTTTTTTATTAAAAAAAATATACTCAAAAAATCATGTCCCCAGTTTTCATGTCACTGCCGAAACACAAGGGGTTTTAGTCCAATGGCTGAGCCTGGTTTTTAGCCACACCCCTGCATTTTTGACTAGACAGTGACACTGCATCCCTGTCCTTCATGGCTGAATGGCAAGTAGCTATATCCCATACTTTTGATATAAATCTGTTCCGAAATCTGAAAATTGGCGTGTAACCTTAAGAATTGTCACTACCGTGTTCGGTAGAGTGATATTATCTTCAATTAAGTAAACTTTTTCGGGGTTTTATGCAAAGTATTAGGTTTGTATGTGTGTAAACCTCTTCAAAAACGTGTATGCTAGCCATGTACTAGCTAGCATTCTTTAGTTATGCTCAAACTTAGCCAGAATCGTCACTACCGAAACATATGGTTACGTTTCAGTAATTGACATGATCGTTTCGGTAGTGACAAAATGGAATGGTAAGCAGGTAAATCCCACCATTTTGAAATAAATGTGTTTTAAAGTCTGAAAATCAGTGTGTTACTTTAAAGGTCTCTTATTATACTATTGTTAGGCATATATTATAGGTCTCAGATATATATATAAGAACATGTCTATGAAGTGTTTTGCTCCAAATACCAAACAGATCATGCATTCT